CTAGTGGCAGAGCAGGGACTAGAATACTTGTCTCCTGTGTTCAAGAGTTATCTCAAGTGTTATCTTGTATGCTATCTTCTGTCCCCATTGCTAGTCTGCACCCTACCCTACCCCCACCCAACATGGCCTAGCATAGTACCATGTACTTGGTTGAGATTTAGTAAATGATTTTGCTAAATTTTAAAATCCTGAGACACTGGAGTCATATTATCTATAATAAAGCCCTCATTGTGAAGCTGGAGAGACTAAGGCTCAAGAGGGGAGGGGACATGTCCAAGGATTTGTACAGTCCATGGCAGAGCCAGGCCTAAGACTCAGGGCTTCTGACTGTCCCCTGGGACTTGTCTTACCGCCAAGCTTAGTTACCCTGTCACCTCCCCCGCCACCCTGTGAAGGAGGTGAGGGGGGAGGGTGGTCCTTGGATGCTCCATCTAATGTGTATAGCCTAGGAGAGACCCAAGCACCCAGTGTCTGTGCATCTGCCAGGCTCCTGGCACTGTGCTGGCCATTTTACACATGTGTTCGCCAGTCCTCACAGCAACCTTTGAGAAAGGGATTGCCGTCTCCATTTTAGATGAAGAAACTGGAGCTGAAAGAGAGGAAGTCACTTCCTAAAGTTGCACAGTGACTTCTGCTCCCTTACACTGCATCCCCAGCATTGTAACTCCTTCACATCAGAAAGGAGATTGATTCTGGAATGACAGTTTTCATCTCGAGGGACAACTCTGATCAATCGTTGGAGGTTTCCTAGAGCACCATTTTGAGAAGAGTTCTAAGGTCCCATCCAGATTCAACAGGAAGTGTACTGTGGTTTATTAGTAATGTCTGCATTGGATACAGGAGTAGAGAGTTGGAAAGAAAAGGCAGTCTTTCCATTATGTGGTTTCCACCCCTTGGCGGCTTGTGGCTTGTATCTCTATAGGGGTATTTGGCTTCCTAGACTGGTCTTCACAACCATCCTCTCTGAGGATGACAGAACCAGCATTGCCATCCCAAATTTACAGTTGAAGGAACTGGTCCAGAGAGGTGAAGTGACGTGCTCAGTTCATACTGCAAGTTAGTGTTTGAGGCCTCCTGGCTCTTGGTGAAGGCCCATTCCCCTCCATGGAGCTGAGGCTGGTAGTTTTGTCAAGAGGAACTCACATTACTCATCCTGTCCCAGGCCCACCAGCCCTGTTGAGAAACACATCACATTGTGGCCTCCGAAGCAATAACTGCTCTCCAGGAGGGCGCTGATAAGAGCTTTGACACGTTAGATATACATGTTTGCTGAAGGAAGGAGGAAGGAGGGTGTCAGGGGTTAGGCCCACCGCTGATCATCACCCTCACCTGCTCCCTCTCTCTGGGGGAAGGCAAGGTGGCTCACATTCCCTGAGCCCTCCTCATGTGTCCAGCAACCTTCTATCATTTCTTCCATCATCTCCTTTCATCTTCACAACAGTCCTGTGAGGTGGATGTTAACATCTCCATTTTACATATCAGGAGACTGAGGCTCAAAGATTGTGTCTAACTAAGACCAGAGAAAGCAGGGATGGCCAGTGAAGCCATACTACTAGGAGCCTTTGTTACTCAGTGTGTTTTATATATATATTTTTAACTATATAAGAGGAAATAGAAAAAAAGTAGATTAAGACACATTTAAATCAGTCAAAGTTCTGTCATCAAAAGTAAAACCACTATTGTGCTGATATATTTCCTTCTAGACTTTCCAAAATTGGATTTTTTTTTTAAATACATACAGTAGTTAAGCTTTTCTGGGACATCCAATTTATCCTATACTGCTTAGCATTATGGCATCAGCCCTCCCCATGAGGTTGTAAACTCCTCTGAACATTTTTATTGACTCCATAAGTTCCCTAGGAGAGTTAAACAGTCCTCTTGAATGGGGTAGGGGGAGCACCGGGCCTGGAGTCAGGAGGCCAGACCATGAGCATCAGTCCTGCCACCACCTCACTGGCGGTCCACAGACAAGTCACTGCAGATTCTCTGGGCCACAGTCTCCTAATGGGTAAAGTCAGGGATCACAAGCCCTGCTCTACCGCCCTTGCAGCATCAAATGAGCAGAGGCTTTTTGTAGACTACAAAGGGCTGTGCCCCTGGGAGAAGTAGTGCTCCTTCTCTTCCATCAGTCTCCTCCTTGGAAAGTTCTGTCCTCGCCTTGCCTCCTAGGCCTTTATCTTAAGAGGGGCTTAGAGCAGCAGTGCCAGACTTCAGCATCTCTGAGAACCTGGAAAATGAGGCACTCACAAGGAGGCCTTAGAGAGACTCTCTAAGCAGACGTGGGGTGCTGGCTCTCAGGACTTTGGCTGAGGAGAACCACACAGCTCAAAGACCACTGCCCACCCTCTGCCTTCCACCCACATCTTGGTCTCGAAGTTGTGAGGCCTCTCAGGGGTATCTCTCCCCTCTTCTCCGGGAAGCCTTGACGGTGGCTGACAGGATCTGAGGCCAGGTTCACCTCTGCAGCAGTTCTTTGCAGCTTGCAGTGCACTTCAGTGAGGGTTGAATCGGTTTATGTGAGGAAGGCAGGGCAGAAATTATCCCTCTTTGGTACAGAGGACAAGGCCGAGGCGTAGAGAAGGGAAGCGTTTGGGCCGTGTTGGACTGCCAGTTACATAAGCAGGAGCTCATGAGGGGCCACTTGGCATTTAATAGACACATTATATAATCACCTTTGGGAACCCAGGAGTAATCTCAAGGCCCTTTGTGGGCGTTTTGTTTAAACCCCAGGAAGGGTGGGTGTGAGCAGATTGGCTTGGCAGGGAAGGAGGGGCCCTTGGTGGTAATGAACCCTATGGTGAGGAACTCTCCCTGGGGAGCAAAGGGGACCTGAAGCAACTTAATATTTTCCCTTTGGTTCCAGACGTTGGAACACTCTGTCCTGCCTTAGCTGGAACCAAGCCCGGGATGCACCTGGGCCAGGTTTAATCCTCAAATTGGCCTCTACAAAAGAAAAGGGCTGGGGATGGAGGGCCCAAGCTGGGGAGAAACACTGCTTCTCCCTGTCCCTGGGCAGAGCCAGAGTGCGGATTGAGTGGCTGCCCCTTTAAAGTTTCATGTAAAGCTGGTAATGCTATCCTGCTGCTCTCTCCACCCCTGCCCCAGTGCAGAAAGTGGGCAGGTCCCTGGCCTGTTCCTTATCCCCCCACCCCCACCCCGCTACCCAGTGGAAGGGATGGTGGAAGGAAAACAGGGCAGGGGGCCAGGGGACGGGGAGCAGGGCCACTCAAGATAAAGGGATCTAGAGTGAGGCTTGGTGCCGCCTTCTATCTCCCTGGCTGAGTGGCCGCTGTGCAGGGGAGGGGCGTAACCACAAATTGTCCAATTAAAGGTCCTCATTGCTCAACCCTCTTATCCTCATGCCAGCACCACTGAGAAGAGGGAACTAAGGGAGCTACAGTGGCCATGAGCAAAGGCCTTGAGTTAAGACAGATGTGCGTGTGAGGGCCGAATGTGAAAACATACACCTAGTGCATGGCATACATGGCAGCTGTGGTTAACGTTATAAAGAGAGAAACTGAAGTCTGGGGAGGGGAAGTGGCTTGTGTCATAGCATGTGTCAGTGGGAGAAGCTCCTCCTGGACCCTATCCATCAGGCATGGAGAAGAAATTGGAATCGAGCAGGCCTGTGTTCTAGTCCTGCCTTGCTTTTTACCAGCTTGGGATGAGACCCTTTTCTGAGACTCTGTTTATTCACCTGTATAAATGGGGAAGGAGTCCCCCGGTGGTACAAGTGGTTAATGGCTTGGATGCTAACTGAAAGGTTGGTTATTCAAATCCACCCAGAGGTGCCTCGGAAGAAAGGACTGGTGATCTACTTCCGAAAAATTAGCCACTGAAAACCCTATGGAGCACAGTTCTACTCTGACACACATGGGGTCGCCATGAGTCAGAATTGACTCAACAGCAACTGGTTTTTTTTATAGTGAGGGAATCAGCCCAGCTACCTGCTCTAGCCAAAGAGGTGCAATCGCTATATCAACCGGGCACAGAGCAAGGGAGAGAGAGGCTTTGGAGACAAAGCCAATCTGGGAGTCTAGACACAGAAGACTCAATTGGAGGGGAGGATCCTACTTCTGGTGGGCAGACCAGGTGAGGGGGCTTAGGCCTGTGGACCTACGTGTTCACCCACAACCAGAGGTGAGGAGGGCTGTCATTGCCGTTCCACCTTGCAGGAAGAAAGCCTGGGCAGCCACTGCCAGATCATGACAGTGAGCCATGCTTCCTCCCTCTGTACCGAATCTAGACAGGAGTAGTCTAATTCCACTTCCACTTGGCTTTGTGGCTGTGTATATGTTTCTTAACCTCTTGGAGTCTGAGTTGCCTCTTTGTGAAATGGAGACAGCAAGTTCTGCTGTGCGGGGTGTTTATAACACTGGGCCTTGAGACAGCTAGCACAGCGCCCAGCACAGAGTCCATGCTCTGCAGAGGCGAGCAGAGCATGTTGTCCCACCTTTGACAGATTCGAACTGAGTCTGCCTCCCCTTAAGCTGTGAGCCCCTCCCTGGTGGGGCCTAGGTCCAGACCAGCCCCTGAAGCCTAGAACATTGGAGGTGGGGGGTGGGAGGCAGCCCAAGAGACCATCTAGTCTACTGGTTACAAACTGGGTTCCTAACACCCTATGGCAGGGATAGTAAGCAAGCAAGGGGACTCCAGACCTCAACCCTCACTTCAGCCAGAGCAGGCCCGCTTTCATCTGCTGGTCTTTAAGAAAGGGTTCTGCTGCTTCCAGTTTAAATCCACCAACTGGCCTAACCCCCTTACCGTGCAGCTGGGGAGACTGAGGTGAGAGGAACAGGGACTGGGAATTGTATGAGGAGCATCAGGAGAGCATCCCAGGAGGAAGGGAGCTAGTGAAATGTGTCCTTCTCTCCCCAGAGGTCTGGTAGCAACTTTCTGTTGTGTCTAGGGACATTGGCTCACGTCTTATGGGATGGGGTTAGAACCATCTGGTATGAGGTGCCTGCTGCCATCCCTCACCTACGGCTGTGTTCTTCTAGGCCCCACCATGCTGTGGCCCCTGCTGTTGCCCCCGCTGCTGTTGCTGGCCGTGACCGGGGCCCAGACGACCCGGCCCTGCTTCCCTGGGTGCCAGTGTGAGGTGGACACCTTTGGCCTCTTTGACAGCTTCAGCCTGACACGAGTGGATTGCAGCGGCCTGGGCCCCCACATTGTGCCCGTGCCCATCCCCCTGGACACAGCCCACTTGGACCTGTCCTCCAACCGGCTGGAGATGGTGAACGAGTCGGTGCTGGCAGGGCCAGGCTATACCACACTGGCTGGGCTAGATCTCAGCCACAACCTGCTCATCAGCATCTCCCCCACCACCTTCTCCCGCCTCCGCTACCTGGAGTCGCTCGACCTCAGCCACAATGGCCTGGCAGCCCTGCCAGCCGAGAGCTTCGCCAGCTCACCCCTGAGTGACGTGAACCTTAGCCACAACCAGCTTCGTGAGGTCTCCGTGTCCGCCTTCACTACCCACAGCCAGGGCAGGGCACTGCACGTGGACCTCTCCCACAACCTCATTCACCACCTCGTGCCCCACCCTCCACAGTCCGGCCTGCCCACACCTGCCATCCAGAGCTTGAACCTGGCCTGGAACCGGCTCCACACCGTGCCCAACCTTCGAGACTTGCCCCTGCGCTACCTCAGCCTGGACGGGAACCCGCTGGCTACCATCGGCCCAGGTGCCTTTGCAGGCCTGGCTGACCTTACACACCTGTCACTGAGCAGCCTGCAGGGTCTCCGCCAGCTGGCGCCTTATGGGTTCTGTGAACTGCCGGGCCTGCAGGTCCTGGACCTGTCAGGCAACCCCACGCTCAAGTGGGCAGGAGCTGAGGTGTTCTCAGGCCTGGACTCCCTGCAGGAACTGGACTTGTCGGGCACAGGCCTGGTGCCCCTGCCTGAGATGCTGCTTCAGCACCTCCCAGCGCTGCAGCGCCTCAGCATGGGCCAAGATGTGCAGTGCCGGCGCCTGGTGCGGGAGGGCACCTACCCCCGGCAGCCTGGCTCCAGCTCCAAGGTAGCCCTGCACTGCGTAGACACCCGGGAATCTGCAGCCAGGGGCGCCAACACTTTGTGACGAAAGGTGTGGCCCAGGGCCACATAATAGACTGCTGCCTTGAGCTTGCTTGGGTCCTGGGTAATTTGTATTTTCATGTGCCAATGCCACTCGGGACTCCACAGCCGATATGGCAGTGTCACTGCAGGAGCCGTGGACCTAAGGAGAGGCTTTGGACCTGGGGCCGACACCCAGGAGCAAAGTCTTGCCCCTTTGTCTCTGTTGCCCCATCAGCAGAGGGACTTCAATGCTAAACCAGACTCTGGTCCCTTCCTGCTGCCCTTCCCCAGTTGTCCGCAAAGTGCCTTCCCTCAGGCTTGGGCTGACCTGACCTGTGACAGGAGGGTGAAAGAGAGCCCCTGCTGCAGGGCAGAGTTCAGTGCCACTGGGCTGAGCACCCCCTGAGGCCATGGTCCAGTCACTCAGGGGCATAAGTTTCTTTTAGGACATAACCTCCCTCATCACTCTGGGCACAGAGGGCCCACAGTCATCCTTTTCTCTCCCTGGAACCCTGAATAGAACCTTAGTTACAGAAGGGACTGGAGAGAAATTCAAGTTTACCCCCATCATGTGACAGCTGGGGAAACTAAGGCCTAGAGAAGGAAAAATGATACTCTGAGGTCCTACAAGGGCAGAGGCATGGCTGGAATCCAGTCTGCTGCCTCCCAGCTAGGGTCCTTTGCACTTTCCTATCTTCTCTTCCTAGGCTTCACCTTCCTGGGCTTCCTGCTTGCTACCAAGATCCACATCCTAATGTTTCTGCTCTTTCCCTGTCAGCCCCAGGAGCGGTGGCATTAGGGTGGGCAAGGGCCTCAGAGGTGGACTCTAGGCCCATTGATCAGCCCTGTGGTATGGGCTAAGCTAGCTCACCCCTTGGAACCTCTGGAAGCTTGAGGCATGCCAATCTGTTCCTTACTCTGGGGTGGGGTCCCCCAGCATCGAGACCGGAAATGTGCCCACTGACCCTCAAGGCTTCTATAAGCAGGAATTGATGCAGTCCTGGAGCCCCATCTGGCCACGGAGCTCCAAGGCGCCACCTGGCTTTAGTCCTCATTGCCCAAAAGTCCCTCTCACCCTCTTGAGAATGCAGCTGAAGGAGGCAGGGTATCTACCACTCATCTGTATGCTTCACCCCAGGGTGGCATCTCAGCTTCCCAGCCCTGGGCTCTTTCCTTTGTCTTCATTTTATAAAAGTTGTTGCCTTTTTAATGGACACGAACGTTCAACCACCCCCACCTCCACCCCTGCTGGCAGGGGACAACGGAAACAACATGTCATTTGTAAAAGAAGAAAAAGTTGCTCACTTTTGTAATATTGTGTCCTGGGATGTACTGGGGAGAGGGACAGTGGATGGAAGCCAGCCATCAGTGGCCATGTGGGCATCAGGGGCTGGTCCCACAGAGATGCTACAGGACAGGGGCAGCGAGAGCTCCAGCCTTCCCCATCAGCCCCAGCCAGCACCTGATTGGTCCTTGGTTTAATAAACACCCTCATTCTGTCATTCAAACAGCGTTCACTAATAATTCCTAGGCCACAAGGATAAATCAGGTCAGGCCTGCACTGGGCGGCTTATTCTCCCTGAAAAGCCCAGTAACCTCCCAGAAGTTGGGGAGTGAGGTGACATAAAGGAAGGAGTTACTTGGGGGTTGACTGGATGTTCTGCTGCAGCCTGCACCCTGCCTGCTGTCCTCATCTTTCCACTCCCTGCCATCTCAACTCCTCCCACCCCAGTCCAGCCATAGCCATGAACTTGCCAGGCCCTTGCACGTTTCTGTGCCATTGTTCTCAGTCTGTTAGGTGGTGGGACACCTTGCCCCATCCCTGCCTCTCAAACTCCTTCCTATCCTAATAGACCTAGTCCCTGCCTCTCCTCAGAAGCTTTCCCTGTGATCCCTCCAGTTCCCTCTCTGTTCCAATAGTACTTGCTCATCCCTCCATCTTGGCATTTGGACTGTCATGAAACCCTACCTCTTTCCCGCTTCCAGTGACAACAGCTCACTTCAGCTCGTCTGAATGGCTCTGCTGCCAGCACAGTATTCCTTCTAACTGGCCAATGTCTATAGGAATACCCATCACCATTACCTTCAATGACAGACCTTTCGTGATACCTTCTGTGTGCTGAGCCCTGCACTGGGCAGGAAGATGAATCTGCTCCAGTGTTTACCATAAGGGGATTCGATCTTGGGGTGGAATGGGGAGAAGGACACCAACCAAAGACACCTAACTATGCAGCAGAGGGAGGTGTGAGCCTTGTGGAGGCTTAGGAAAGTTTCCTGGAGTCGGCTCATCTGAGCAGCTGAGGACAGGTGGGCCTGGACAGAGGGGGCTGATGCTTGGTAGGGGTCACCAATGAGCAAAGGCACCTAGAACTTTCAGGCCAGGGGCATCATCGGTAAGGAGCTTGTCCATCTTATCACTCAGGCCTTCGAGGGGCAGTACCTACCAGAGTCCCTGAGCCCAAGGTCAGAGAGGGTAAAGCTGGTACCTACTGCTCAGTGTGGGGAAAGGCTGAGGCATGGAGGGTATCAGAGTTAGACCTCAGTCCCCACGGTCCTTGTTCATCACCCCTCGCAGATTCCCTGGGACTAGAGACACTTCAAATGCAGGAGAGCGAGTGAGGGAGTGGTCCTGGAGAATTTTACCCAATGGGGCTGGGTCCTCCCAAAGCCCTGACTGAGGAAAGGGTCCTTGAGGGAGGGCCAGGGAACAAAGGAGTCTTAAAGGTAGGGACAGAGCGGTGTGGAAGGCGCTGCGCTGCGGAAGGGGAGGCAGGGGCTCCTTGCAGGGGTCTAAGTGAGCTCTGGGCCAGGTCACTTTCTGCGCAGAGCTGCAGCCTCCTCATCCGACAAATGGGGTGGTGGTGGCGCTCCAGCGGGGGGGAATGGACGCAGGCGCCATCCCACCGCGTAGGCTCACCCTTCACGGTGAGGGCCTGACTCTGCACTCTAAGCCCAGGCTTCCCGAGTGCCTTAGGGAGAACCGAAACCCCGCGGGGCAGCTGGCCTCACCGAACTAGGCGTCCACGGGGTTCCTCTGGCCCTGGCTGGAGGCTTCCAGCCCGCAGCGCCATCTCGTGGTTGCGCGTGGCCAGATACCCCAGGTCTGAGGGGGCACTTGCAGCCAGGCCTGGGACCAGAGGCCAAAGTGGACCTCCGCAGCTTGCGAGGCCATCTCCTCCTCCCCGGAGCCAGACCACCCTCATCCTGCCATACTCAGCCCTCGTGGAATCCTGGGGCCTAGAATAAGGACATTAGAACCTTACGGAACCACAGATATTAGAGATAAGTTTCTGTTTTGGGGTTTACGGAAAATGGTTAAAATCCTGGCTCCACTAACCAGTTGTGTGACTTTGGCCAAGTAACTTTACTTCTCTAAGCCTCAATTTCCCTACCAGGAAAATGGGGATAAAAATATCTCCCTCCACAGGATTACCTTATGAAGAGTAAATGAGGTAACATTTGTAAAGAACCATGTAGTCTTAGAATCATATTTTTGACAAATGACACAGAACTGAAGGATTATAGAATTGCAGAGCAATACTCTTTAAACTACAGCATCTTTGCCCGTGTGTGCTTGGCATGGAATAGGCATTCAATGCATGTCGTTGAATCATAGAGATGGGGAAACAACTGAGGCACAGATTGTCGTCATGCACAGGAAGGGTCACAAACATTTCCTTGTATTTCCCTAAGTATACAGCTGCCATTTACTGGGCATATTGTTCCTTACACTCTGTGCACATGCTATCATTTCCTCCCCAGAACAACTGCACAAGATAATATTGTCACTGTACAGATGAGGAAACCAGCCTGGGCCTCACTTCATCTGTCAAATGACGATTCCCTCATTCTTGCCTGTCTTATCTCAGGTACTGGGTGCTCTGGGAAGCTAGAAAGCGCTGGGATTCCATTCTTTTTTCTGTTGGAAATAAACTAGAAAGTCATGCAGCTCTACATCTCTCTAATAAGACCATTGATTCTAGAACCTAGAGCATGAGAAGGCAAATGTCAAAGTCCTTCCCTTCTTGACCCCATTTCATGGATGGAGAGACTTAGGTCCAGACAGGAGCAGCCCAAGTTTGCATGGCAGGTGGTCAGATTCTGTGCTTCAGAACTGGCTTCCTAATTTGTGAGACCCAGTGCAAACTGAAAATATGAGATGAGACCCCCTTGTTCAAAAATCATGAAGAATTTCAAGATGGGACAGCAGAGCATTAAACCAAAGCCCAGGGCCCTTCTAAGCATGGGGCACTCTGAGACTGCATAGATTGCATTCCCGTGAAGCCAGCCCTGCTGTGCTTTCATCATCCCATTTACAGAGAAGGAAGGGACAAATGCCCAGACTGGGTTGGTCAGGATGCAAAAGAGAGTTTGTATGTAACCCAATCCCTCTGTAGTTCAGTGATCCAATTAAACTCCTCCAAACACATGCATTTCCCTCCATGGGTGTCATTACACCTTGTCCTGATTTCCCCAGATCACCATGACCAACTGGCTTTCAGAGAGACGTGGCAGATAGAGATGCAGATACTACCACCCACCAATGACCACTAAACCGATCATAGGATGTTTCTCTTGACAAGGCCTACAAGGGTGTGGGGGCCAGAATTCACCCCTCTGCTCACTTTATGTACTTAGAGAATTAAAAGACCACCAGTGCTAAAGCCTTCTCATACCCAGGGTCCACCAAGGGCAAGATCTATGATGACAGAAGTTATCATAGACTAATACGGCCTTGTCCATCAAGGCTCACTGTTCCTTGTTGACTAATGTTCATCAGGAAGGTAATGTCCATCAATGTATAAAACTTATCAGTACCTGGGTGGTGCCAACAGTTAACATGCTCGGCTGCTAACTGAAAGACTGGCAATTTGAGTCCACCAGAGGTGCCTCGGAAAAAAAGGCCTGCAATCTACTTCCCAAAGGTCACAGCCCTTGAAAACCCTGTGGATCCCAGTTCTACTCTGACACAGTGGGGTTGCCTTGAGTCGGAACGGATTTAATGGCAACTTTTTTTTTTTT